TAACTCCACTTTAACTCTGACTTAACTCTGCTTTAACAACTCTGCTTTAAATCTACTTTAACTCTGATTTAACTGTGATTTAATCCTGATTTAACTTTGCTTTAACTCAGATTCAACTCTTCTTTAACTCTACTTTGACTTCATTCTGCTTTAACTCTTCTTTAACTTTTAACTCTACTTTAACTCTACTTTAACTCTGCTTTAACTCTACTTTAACTCTTATTTCATTCTGCTTTAACTCTGCTTTGGCTCTGCTTTAACTCTGATTTCATTCAAGTCTGATTTCATTCTGATTTAACTCTGCCTTAATCCTGATTTAAGCCTGATTTAACCCTGACTTCATTCTGATTTAAATCTGCTTTAACTCTGATTTCATTCTGATTTAAGTTGGATTTAATCCTGATTTAACTCTGCTTTAACTCTGATTTTCATGCTGATTTCATTCTGATTTAATCCTCATTTAACTCTGATTTCATTCTGCTTTAACTCTGCCTTAACTCCACTTTAACCCTGATTTAACTCTGCTTTAACTTTGCTTTAATTCCACTTTACTTTAATCCCAGCTCAATTCTGATTTTTGAGGGTTTTTTAGGCTGCTCTGAAAATGCTGAGGGGTGGAAGGGATAAAGAGGGAGGATTTTTCAGCTGGGGCCTGAAAATGTTGAGGGGGATTTTGTAGGAAAATTTTGTGTAAATGATGCTCCCTGGGATTTTTTACTCAATTTTCCTTCTCAGAGGTGAAACTTTATTTAAGGAAAACACAGGAAAGAAATAATTTAATGAAAGTTTTATTTAAGGAAAATACAGGAAATTAATGATCCCCATCCCACAGCACATCCTTGGATTTCCTGCCCTCCAGGAATGCTCCAATTCCACTTCTCCAATTCCACTTTTGGGGAATTCTCAGCTCCTGGAGGATTTCTGGCAATCCAAATTATTCCCAATCCAAAATTTACTGGAGGCCTCACAAATATTCACCGATTTTTTTTTTTTTCTGGGG